TATATTTCAGACAACTTTATCATAGGATGACAAAGCACATGTCAATCTGCAATAGTTGAAACTCCCAACTCTATACTAAGCATTGTGTCTGCATGTACCAGCCTTGTGAAGTAGGCTCAACACTCCTGCAGTAACTTGTGTTTGCAACACATGCTAAAAAAAACCCCTTAAAATCAGCATCTTTTCTCCTTCCCATAGGCACACCTTAAAAGGAAACTTTGATGCTCACAACTGGCATGAAAATAGACTGAATTATTTACAGGGTTAGAATTAAACAAGAGGGGTGAGACCGACAAGAGCCAGGAATGAACACTCCATGTCCTAACACATGGATGGGTATTGAGGCCACAGGTTTAAAGGAAAAACAAACAAACAAGAAAAAAAAAAAAGGTAACAGCAGAGAGACAACCCATATTACTTAATCTGAACTTAAATCAACTTGGCCCAATTTGAGAGACAGATTAATCCCTGCAGATACTGTTTCGACTTGCACACGCAGCACGTCAAAAGACAACAAGCAATTTTGGTAAATGTCCTCTAAGGTTTAGAAGAATCCCATGTGATTGGCATGTTCATTTGTTTACTATTTAATAGCAAATCCCAGGACAGATGAGAGAGTGAGGTGTGATGAGGATCCTGAAACTCCTCAAAAGGACAGCATGTCTTAACACACTCCACCCGTCTGCTGTTGGAACACATCGATAGTGTCTTCGTCTTCCATCTCCAGCTGTTGGAGTAAGACAGAAAATACAAGATCACTTTGCTCTCTAAGGATTAATAGAGCACTTCAAGTGTAATTTTAGTTAATTAGCCCATTAGACACTTCCCATCAGTCCAGAGAAGGCATTTCATGCTGTTTCCCACCAGAGAATCACCAACACAGAGCTGGGATTCAGGGGCACGTTCGCCTGTCCCACCAAACTCAGCACTTACCTCCTCAACCAACCCCCCAGCCAAGCAGCTCCTCCACTCCTGGCCTTGCCAGCCAAGAAATTCCCCCCTGTTCTCTCCACAGGCTGATGCAGAAGCAGGACAGAGCCAAAAATGCCTGTCCTTTCCACACCAGCACTGGCTTGCTCAGCACTGATGCTCTTCCAACCTTTTCCTCCCCACCACAACAGAAAAACATTCAAGGGGAAAAAAAAACAAACATCAAATCCCTCTCCCTCCAAATTATTTGGAACCCACTAATCTTACAGCAACTATTCCAGAATCATTGGGTTTCAAACCCCTTTGATCTTCATGCAGACATCAAAATACCTCTAGAGCAATTAGCAGAAAAGTGGTTTTCATACCTGTGCAGGTGTGTCTCCTTCGTTAATTGGTTGTCCATCAAATCTGAACCTAATCTGCCTCATCGACAAGCCCTGCAAGTTTAAAGCCATTAAAAGATGAGAAACCATGTGTTTTGTTTCTGAATCTAAACAAAACATGTCGGGATTTACTGGCAGAACAAACCTTCACAAAATTAAGGCTTGAAAGACTCAAGTAGAAAGGGACTTGACTACATAGGTGGAAGAAACTGTTTGGGCAACATCCCTGTCACTGCAGGGACACACAGGTGTGGGTCTGGCACCTGGTTCTGACCCTGCCCTGCAAGCCTCAGAAGTCCAAAGCTCATTTACAAAGGTAATTAAAGGAGATCAATCAATACACCATCCTCTAAAGGCCGGGTCAGGAAGGAGCAGCAATTGTTTCTCACGCAGCCAAAGTAACAGTAGATTAAGTTGACTTAAAGGAAAACTTCATGGAACCATGAAGGACAAGTGAGGAAAAAATAACTTGCAGGACTTGGTGCAGATGTTTCCTTGCAAGGTTTGCTGGAAAAATACTAGGGTCTGACGTTAGGAATTACCCTTTCCCTCAAAACCTGAGTTGAATTCACAGCTGAATCCTGTTTGGGCAGCCTGTAATCACAGCCTTTATTCTCTGCCTCAGGGATCTTTGCTTCACCCTCCAAAATCCTCTGAAACCCCCATGCAATCCACACTTCCAGAACCACACGGATGCAAAAACACACCTCTCTAAAGGTCCTTCATATTCCCTTCTCATTCCCAACCTGAGAGGTGTTATCCTCCACCAGGAACGTGCCAGGGCAGAGCATAAGGTTCAAGTAAGGAAAGAAAGGATCCTGCAAGTAACAGATGAGGGGAAAACGCTGCCAGACAAAAGGCACCCAGGGCTCCAGGCTCAGGAACTGGGCTGTGGGGATCCATCCCACTCCCCCCGAGCTCAGGGTGGCACCCAGGAAGGCTCTCCCATCACCCAGCAGAAGATGGCAGTCCACACTGCAGGACACGTGTGGAGGCAAGAGAGGGGAAAAAAGGCCCCCAGCAGAAGTCATGGCACAGGGGAACTGGTTTTGTGCCATCTTCCCCGGCAGAAACCACTCTGCTACAAAGCTGAGTGAACCGGTCTCAGAGCCAGGGGCAGAGCTCCAGGAGCTGGGGCACTTTTAGAGCAGCCGATGGGGAAGAGGCAGTTTCCCTCAGCTGAAGAGGAAACCCCTGATGCTCAAGAACGGCCAGCACGCCGAGCCCTCAGCCAGCAGGGCGCAGGGACACAGGGCAGGAGCAGGGCAGCGGGGGGTGCGGGCCCTTACCTGCCGCTCGCAATAAGCCTTCATCAGCTTGCTGAGCGGGGGGGGGCGCTTGGTCTTGAAGATTGGAAG